TTTGCTTTTTAAATAATCAATTTATTGATAATTAATTCTGTACTATATTTTCAGAATGTGCTTTGTGATCCACATTATTTTACTTTTCAGGAAAAAATCTATTTTTTATGTAACTTCAGCTAAAATATCTGAAGCACCATGGTTTACAATACTGTTCACAACAGGGTTTCATGCAGACATTCCAACACCACACCTTCCACCAGAGTATCCACTACCCTCCATGATTTCTCAGTGTCCCCTCCAAACCATTTACCTTCGACATCAGTAAACCCATTTCTGTAAACCAATTCTCCAGTTTCATGATCTTCATATGTATTATTCACTTCCTATGTTTCTTTATAGCCCACATATGAGAGAGGTTATTCTGTATCTGGTCTCTCTTCTGGATTTCATTCAATATATTATCCAGAGCAATCCACATACTGGCAAATTGCATGATCTCATTTTTCTTATACCTGAATAGTATCTCAATGTGTATTTATACCAGTTTCCTTATCCAGTCATCTTTTCTTCACACTTGGTTATTCCAGACCTGGATTTTGTGGATAGTGCTACATTGAAAATAGGACTACAGATGTCTCCTCAAACTAATATTTTGGGGATTTGGGGGTAGATGTCAAAAAGTGGGATTGCTGGGTCACATGGAAGCTCAATTCTTAGTTTTTTTAGAAGTATCTATGCTGTTCCAATGAGTTTGAACAAATGGACATTCTTATCAGAAGTGAAGGAGAGTTTTCTTTTTCCCTGCATCCATGCCAACACTGGTTATTTTGATTTTTTTGTACCCTTCAGGCTGATCACCACTCAAATACAAGCTCGTGGGGACAGAGACTCTGTCAAATTATGAACCTCACCAAAACCTTTTCCCATTAGCCTGATGAATGACAATGAATACATGAGAAAAATATGGTGCTTTCTTTCTCCAGATTTCAGAGTTAGTGATTATGAAAGTCACTTCTAGCCTCCTTTTCTTTGTTTTACTTTGCTTAATTTTATTAGAACTCCATTCCAGCATTATAAGTTCAAAAATAAGTGCCCTTTTCTTCACTTGACTAGTGTAAAAATAAAAATCACTGCCGTCATCTGTAATTATACGTAAAGGTAGTCATTATATAGGGGCCGGAGAGCTAGTACAGTGTGGAAGGCACTTGCTTTGCACACAGCTGACCTGTGTTCCATCCCCAGTATCCCATATGTCCCTGAGCACCAACAGGAGTAAAATGTGAATGCAGAGCTAGAAGAAAACCCTAAGCATTCCCAGGTATGGTCCAAAAGCAGACAAACAAATAATATAAACCCTAGAAAACTCACGTATAATTAGGAGAGACAGGAGAAATTCATAGGCTCAAATACAGTACATGGGCGGGTTATAACTTCTATTTCAAAAGCAGAGGTCTTTTCTGCTTTCCACATACACACAGTGACTTCACATACAATGACTTGCACAAGAAGGCAATTGTGTTTGACAGAAGTGACTCAAATTAATCATTCATAATAACCACAAAAAATGGTTGCTGAATTATTAAAACACACTCAAGGGTGAGAATTCACCCATTTACTACAGGGATAAACTGAGAGTGACAGATATTGAAGGGTTTTTCCCTACTAATTCAGTCACATTGCAAGGCCAACCAGTTGTCTAATTTTCCCAACTCTCAGCTTTATGCAAGCTGCTCTATGTCCTGGCATCAGAATATGGTGTCAAGAATGCCATACAGTGGGGCTGGATAGGTAGTACAGCAGGCAAGACGCTTGCCTTACACACAGCCCACCTGGGTTCATTTCTTGGCATCCCATTTGGTTCTTCAAGCCCTGCCAGGAATAATTCCTGAGTGCACAGCCAGGAGTAACCCCTGAGCACTGTAAGGTGTGGCAAAAAAATCAAGAAAGAATGCCACAGAGAGGGAAGGGCTGTAAGCTTGCCTCGAACAATTTCTCGATCTATCATATTTTTAGCCAATCACATGAACCGAAGAAACAGAAACCCACCCACTCCCTGCTCTCCATCCCCAGGCAAATGCAGAGTCTGAAGGCACAGCAGAGTGGGGTTGAGACAGCTGCTCGGAGATGTGTTTGTGTGGGTGTGAGTTTCAGGGCTTGTAAGTACATTTGTTTAGCCACAGTAAGGCAAGAGTTAGGCAACATCTCGAATAGAGTAGAAACACTCTTCCTGTTGCTATTTAAAAATTGGCCTTGAGACTTCTCATTGCAGAGACAACCCTCACTAGGAGTGGGTTGCTGAAAGAATCTCAGCTTTGCAGACCAGCTCAGGTATGTGGGAACAAGAGGATCTCACCCATCTCCCAGACCCAGGCTGATAGATGAGCATTTCCACTGTTGCAACAAGGCCACGAAGGAAGTTTGACTGGCTGGGGTTGTTTGTGTAGTGGGTGGGTGGAATGACTTCTGCAGTTCAAGGGCAGGGACCTACCTGGCTGATTCATCTTGGTAACTCTCTCAGGCACAGGCAGCACCTTGCTCCACCCTGCACCGCCACCACCACTACCACCATCATCATCATCAACCCCCCCTCCATCTCCGTTCTTTTCTCTGACTATAACTATGTTTTGTCTCATGGGTACCCTCAGTTCCCCTCCTCCCAAGCCTTCTAGTTCCTCAATACAGATTAATTATATTTCTGACTCCTACCTGCAGCTGATAGTTTGGGGGAAAGTTTTGGTTGGCTCCGAAAATGGGTAAGCCCCAGAACTAGTAGGCACTAATCTTATAGTCATATATCATTTGCCAGATTATTTCCCCATGAACCAAATAAAGAAAATCCTGCAACTCAGTTCTTTTCCAGTGATAGATATGAGGAAGTTAAGGGACTATTAGAATTAAGTCTTACCTATTTGACAGCTAAGAATAGTTGCTGCTATTTTAACCTTATAATGACAGTCTTTTTTTTTTTTACTCCTCACTAGTCTTGATTAAATTGTCACTTTACTTGTTCAATATTTTTTGGAGCCCATGAGAATGAAAACAGAAACCCAAAGTGTTTGCTCTCTCTAAATCTCTGAAGGAGATAAAAATCTAGGAAAGTAAAAACAGGATGAAATCCCAAGTCTCTGGCTGAGCTTTAAGAGTAAGATGTGATGGCAGATTTCTTTATACCATCAAGCAGTGGCAGTAATGAAAGCGATAGAGGTGTTGGTGGTCTTAGCAGTGGTGCAGGGAGAATCATCAGAATGTAAAAGCCATTTACTTGTACTTGATAAGTTGATTTTTCTCTTTAGCCACTCAATTCGGAGAGAATGCCATGCACTGTTTCCTTTCCATAATCCTTTTGTGTGGGTCTTCTCCACCTCTGACGTTAGGAGATCACGTTCAGGTATTTTCAACATGGATCATCTGGGTACGTTGATGTGGGAAATGAGAGAACTCATATTCTGATTCATTCTTTCCCTGAGCAGAAGACTCCACAAATCTTTACCAAGTATGAAACATTTTATCCCGATCCCCTAGGTATTTCCAAAAGTTTCCTGCAATCTAGTAAGAATCAACAGTGAGGTGTAGCAAGCTTGGCAGAGATTCTAGAAACGGGTGGGAGACCGTTTTCCCAGCTCTGCCTGCCCCTAACTTGCTGGAGCTTTCAGTCAATTCAGGTCAGTACCTTCCCCCTCAGAAGGGCCTCGATGTCTTTCACCACTCAAGTGTGGCGAGTAGACCCTACCACAGCAGAGCCTGGGAGCCAGCTTAGCCCAGGCCTTACTCAGCAGCTGTATGTGAACAGAATCCCCAGCAGATCTGCATGCATCTTAAGGTTTGAAACACACTTGACTCTAGACACCAAGAACCCTTTTTCCTTATCCCAGGGTTGCACAGAGAGGAGCCTCCTGCTTAATTTCTGATCCTATACTTGCTTCCCTCTGACTTAAGCAAGCTGCTTCCTCTCTGAGCGGCCTCTTAACCTCGAGAGACTCCCACTAAGAAAAGTAGGTGAAAGGCCCCGGCACCTCAAGACTCGCGCCAAACTTCTTAGATTCCCACGGTAGGAAATCACAAGACAATGCGAGGAACACAAGCCGCACAGAGGGGAAGCCAGTTCAACGACGTTTTCGCTGTAATTACAGGAAATTTCTCCTGCAATGGTAAGGGAAATCTTTTAAACACTGACATATATTCACTTAAAAGATATGTAAACACAGGGCTGGAGCGACGGAATAGTGGGCAGGGTGCTTGCCTTGATCCTCGGCACCCCCTCGGGTCCCCGCAGCCCTCCAGGACCGACTGACCCCTGAAGAGTGCCCCGAGTTCCCAAAAACCAACAAAAGAAAACAAATAAATGCACATCGGCACACGCCAACATGTTATTTACACATATATGTCTACTGCTTATATCTAATGCACAGAGGCATTGTAAATGTTTATATACACATACACACAGGCAAACATTTGTCAGATCTGTTGCTTTCTTAGCAACCTTGCCCAGCCCTGGAAGCACTATGCATCCTCCCATTCCGAACTGCCGTCCAAACGGAAACTTTTTATGTCCCAATTCGCAGCGGGAGATGACTAAATTTAAAATAAACAAACAAACAAATAAATAAATAAATAGTTGCTCCGATTAGCCGCCAACACGACGCCAACACCTCCGGACGCGGACAAGGCGCCCGGGCCGCCGCCCGGAAGCGCGTGCGCCCCAGAATCCGGCCCGGCAGAGGCACCGCCTCTTCCTGACGACACCGCGAGAGGCGGCGCGGAGCCCCGCAGGGGAGCGGCCGCTTTTTCCGCGCCTCCTTGTTTCCCGCCGGACGCTAGCGACCTGCGCACCGGCCCGCCCCCGGAAGGTACCATTCTTTCGATTCCCCACTCCAACCCATCCAAACTTCATTTATCCCGACATACAGGTATAAAAAAAAATTAAGCGCGTATACAGTTATTGACAGTTGTGCCTCATAACCACGGGAAACGCACATCTCTCAAGGCGCGAGGAGGCGCGGAGGACGCCCACAGCGCTCGGACTCGCTGGGACGTCACTTCCGGTCGCGCTCGGGCTCCCGGAAACCGCGTGTTCCGGCCGCGAACCGTGGCGCTGCCGCCGTGCGACCATGGGCCGGAGGCGAGCGCCGGACACCGCGTCCCTCGGCCGGGCCCTCATCCGCCAGCAGGCGCAGCGGAGCCGTGGCCAGCGCCACCCCGACGCCTGGGTGAGGCAAAGCTTCCGTCGTCGGCCGCCCTGGCCGGGGAGGGGTCGAAGGTCGCCGGGACGACCTCCTGGATCGACGGGACGGTTCTGTCAGGCTCGTGCGCCGATTGTTCTAGAAAGGCTAGGGCGTGCAGGAGGCGGGAGCGCTCTTGGGAGTCGGGTCGTTACCCCCCCCACACACTCCCCCCTGCAGGCGTTGCGGTGCTGAGCATCCGTCAAGCCCCGCCCAGCCCCGTCGCGTCCCCAGATGGTTCCGACCCAAAGTGGAATTGGTGGTTTTGATCTCCCGAACCCGGCGTCCCACGACCCCCGGGTGCTGCGTCCGCCCCGGTGGGCTGCACGCTTCTTGGTGTGGCGACAGTCACCCCGCGGACCGTGCCCGTCGTTCCCGCGGAGCTCCCGGGAGGAGGGTGGCCTGCGGAGTCCCAGGCACGGAATTCCGACCCTCATCCCGATGTTTCTCTGCCCCTTTGTCCCGGTTTCCTGTGAGTTCCAGACATCCAGCTCAGGCATCAGGGCCCCGTGCGGTGGTTGGATGCCCAGGGACCCAGGTTCCATCCCTGACACTTCTATTTTTGGCTTTTTGGGTCACACCCGGAGGTGCACAGGGGTTCCTCTTGGCTCATGCACTCAGAAATTACTCCTCGAGGTACTCGGGGGAACATATGGGATGCTAGAAATCGAACCCCGGTCGGCCGCATGCAGGGCAAGTGCCCTACCTGCTGTGTTATTGCTCCAACATTTTTTTTTCTTTTGGGTCACACCTGGCAATGCACAGGGGTTCCTCCTGGCTCTGCGCTCAGGTATCACGCCTGGCGGTGCTCGGGGGACCATATGGGATGCCAGGGATCGAACCCGGGTCGGCTGCAGGCGAGGCTAACGCTCTACCCATTGTGCTATCGCTCCAGTCCCTCCCTGACACTTCATTGGTCTCACAGGCAGAGTCGGGTGTAGCCCTGGAGGACCCCCAGCACCACCAGGTGTGACTACTGGCCCCAGCTCCAAACCTCCCTTAATTCCTAGAGTGGCCCCTGAGTGCTCCTCTGGAGGCCCCTACTTCCCCGCCCCTCCCCCCAAAAAATGTTGGTATGCATTTCATGTAACGGACCTTCAGGATTCCTCTGCTTCGATTTTGCTACTACACTGAGGGCTACTCCGTTATATTACTCTCTGTACTACCATTGCATATTTTAAGTTTTTTTTTCTCATCAGAAAAATATAAGTACAATAGAATTTACTTCGAAGATTTTGAAAATGTTGCAAAGTGAATGAGGAGGGCCTGTGACAGCGAGAGAGCGCTCATTTCTCTGTTCACTCCTAGCGGTCTGACACCCTGGTCCAGACCACGATGCAGTTCCCCGGGAGTTGAAGCGAGCAGCTTATTCTTGCCATATGTTCCATTCATAGTTACACACCAGTGAGCTCAATGATGGCTACGACTGGGGCCGGCTCAACCTGCAGTCCATCACTGAGCAGAGCGCCCTGGATGATTTCCTTGCCACCGCGGAGCTTGCAGGAACGGAGTTTGTAGCTGGTAAGTGGGGTCTGGTTGGCAGGGGTGAGGCTGGGCACTCTTTGCTGACTAGACAGAAGCAAGTCTACTTGGGAGTATAAATCTACTTGTGGGCCCCACTGAATGCCGTGCTGGCGTGAACCCAAAGGCAGATGTCCCAGAAGCAGCGTGGAAGGTCCACCTTTGAGGTCTAGAATGTTCCACAGTTTATGGGGGGTAGGGGTGGTCTCAAGCAGTGCTCAGGGAGGCACTGTTAATTCTTGGCCAGCTGAACTGAGTTCAGTGTGAGTTCGATTCGAGGGTGCCAGGAGTGGTGCTGTTCCAGCCTTGTGTACCAGGGATTCCTACCCCATGCACACCCAGTGGTGCTCTGGACCCTCCGGGGTTGACCCATTCGGAGGCATGCAAGACGTGTGCACCTTAACCCCTGGGCCCTCTCTGGCCCTTCTATTTCTTCCTTTTTTTTTTTTTTTAACGTTTTTATTGAATCACTGTGAAATAAACCCTTACAAAGCTGTTCATGATTGGGTTTCGGTCATAGTGTTCCAACACCCATCCCTCTACCACTGTACATCTCCCAGCATCAGTGTCCCCCAGGTTCCCTCCCATCACCCCCCACCCCAACCCCCCGCCTGCCTCTATGGCAGGTGCTTTTCTTCTCTCTCTCTCTTCCCCCTTCCTTCCTCCACCCTCCTGCCTCCCCCATCATTTTTAAGGTAAGACAGTCAGAGGATTGTGTGGTGGTGGATTTCCTCTGCAAGTGTTTTCTGTAAGTCCAGAGTGACTTAAATTGAGATTTGGGATGTGCTTGGGTCACTAGAATTACCTCCATTTGGTCATTCCATAAAACCAGTTCTTGAAAAGCTGAATTTTTAAAGATTGATTTTTTTAATAGAAAATTTCATTTTGAAATTTAATTTTCACAAAATTTAAAGCTGACAGCTAAATTAGACTTAAATTCTGTTTTTGCATACTTTTTAGTTTCCTGTTTATAGTTATCTCCTAAAAGGTTATTTGTTCTTCTTTCCTAACACAGAGAAACTTAATATTAAGTTCGTACATCCCGGAACTAGAACTGGACTACCATCTTTTGAGGAGAGTGAGAGAATTAAGCAGCTCCATGAAGAAAACAGACAGTTCTTGTGTATACCACGGAGGTGAGTTGAACATTTTAAGGTGAGACAAAGTCTCTGAGAATAAAATCTTAAAGTGGATGTTCACTTACTTTCTTGACTGCCTTTTCTCAGGTGTCTTTGTTAAATTCAAATACCCTGTTTTATTTTGATAACTATTTGTGTGTTTCTTTTTTTTTTTTTCCTTTATGATGGTTTCAGACCAAAGTGGGACAAAAGTACTAGTCCAGAAGAACTCAAACAGGCAGAGAAAGATAACTTTCTAGAATGGAGACGTCAGCTTGTCCGGTGAGTGTTAGACAATATTTGCTTTGAAATTCTCGATTTGGGCATCTTTTGTGCTTCCATTGTTCTCTGCCTGATCCTTCTCAGAGAGAAATGGTAGAATTCTTCTACCAGTGGCATATACTTGGCCACGTTGCTGGGTGCACCTGCATCCTTCCTCAAGTGGTGTATTAATTACTCTGCTCCGTTCCCTCCTCTCCTTCTGATCCCTCTTCCATCAGTCCTCACCCTGGACTAGATAACTGTTCTCTTAAGCATTCATTTGTTTATTTGCTGTTTTGTTATTTGCTGTTGGGCTGTGCTTAGTCATTATTCCTGGCTCTGCGCTCAGAAATTACTCCTGGGGGATCATATCGGGTGCTGGGGATTGAACCCTTGTCTGCTAGATGCAAGGCATTTGCCTTTCCTTTCTGAACTTGGACTGACTTAAGCATTCTTCTGGAAAGGAAAAGGTGTGGGAGAAAAGTTACTTCATGTGTTAGATCAAGTCAGGGATTCATGTATTGAATTTGATTTTCTCAGACTCAGGAAAAAAGTGTATGGACAATAGTTTGACAGTATTTGTACTTTGTATTTAACATTTGAATTGCAATGCAACAAATTTGAGTACTTTTAATCTGGCAAACGTGTAAGCTTTTTATTCTAAAGCCAGGCTAGAAGAGGAACAAAAGCTGTTACTAACGCCATTCGAAAGAAATTTGGACTTTTGGCGCCAGCTGTGGAGGGTGATTGAGAGAAGGTAAGGAACGTTTATTGTGTCTAATGAAACCATGTTGTTGTGTTAGATTTGGGGGTAAATATGTTTGTTGTCTGAGTGGAGGGTGGTCTACACAGGAATTACTGCAGTGCTTGAAAGTCTGATAAATATTTTCTTTATGAAATGTGTATACTTTTGTTATGGCATATACACGTTGAGAAATATGTGAGAATGGGGAGCATTTCCCGACGGTGAGTTTGGAGACTGTAGAGATAGTATGGGGGTTAAGGTGCTTACCTAACACTCGGCCAGCTCCTAGTCCATCCCCGAGGACCTCTGAGCATTACCAGGTGTGGCCCCATGACCCCTTACCCCATCACTAACACGTGATGAGTTTAGAAGCACCTGTAGTTTTTCTCAACAAATCTATGCTGAATTCTTCTTGGTATGGCACAGCAAGGTGCTGTGCCACCCTTGCCCCCAGAGGACCTGGCACCAGAGGTGAGGGCTTCCTTCTCAGCTCCTGAGTCTTGGCAAGGGGAGAACCAAGAGGGTAGGGGGGTTGTTTAAGTAGCCTTTGGAAAAGAGCGACTAATCTTGATAAAATGAGAACAGGAAGTTGGGGTTGTTATTGTTTTTAATATTTTGAAGGTTCTGGATGTTTAAAAATTGATTTTCTGTATTCGCACCTTTAATATACCTCAGACTTTGTTTTCCTCAAAGAGCGAATTATTTTCGAAGACTCTGTAAATGAGTTTTACATTAGAAATGGTGCTTTTTACTTGGAACCTTCAGGCTCTTTTAAACCTTAAAATATACCAGGGGCCAGCAGTTGGGTCCATTGGTAAAACACATACCCCATGTGCTTGAGGTGCTGACTTTGACTCCTGGCACCATCTGACCGCCTATGACCACATAAAATTAATCCAGAGATCATTAGGGCAAAAGATGCAGTAACTAGGATCTTCAGAAGAGTTTCTTACATATACCGTGAAAGCTTTGTATTAAACTTGTAAAAGTTACTTGCATTTCTTTTATATGCTGATGAGATGTTCTGGAATTAGTGGAAACTATTGGGTAACTTTGTTAGTATACATAATAAAAATCCTGAATTTTTTCACTTTTTTTTTGCTTTTTGGGTCACACCCAGCGATGCTCAGGGGTTACTCCTGGCTCATGCACTCAGGAATTGCTCCTGGCGGTGCGCAGGGGACCATATGGGATGCTGGGAATCGAACCTGTGTCGGCCATGTTGGCTCCATGCAAGGCAAACGCCCTACCCGCTGTGCTATTGCTCCAGCCCCAATTTTTTCACTTTAGCAAGGATTATTTTTATAACATTGAAATAGACATTTGTCTTCAGTCATTTGCATGCCTCTACCACTCTGATCCCTTGTTGCAGAGAGAGAGAGAGAGAGAGAGAGAGAGAGAGAGAGAGAATTTGAAAGCCTGAAAAAGTAGCTCCAGGCTCCAATGCAGACCCTTTGATTCTGTTCAGATCTGTGTGAAAGACCCAGTCTGTTTCTCCTGCCCACCCCATTAGCAGACGGTGTTTACTGTGGAAAATGTCCTGTTCTCTTTTATCCAGAGAAATGGTAGCTCAACGTTCAGTTTGCACACTGAATTATGTATTGTTTCCCCCCCCCCATTTTCAAAGACTCTGTAAATGAGTTTTAAATTAGAAAGGGTTATTTCTAGTGATGTTTGTTGTGTGTGTTGATATTTAAACTGCCTTGTTACAAACCTAACTGGAAGGAGTGCTTGTTTGAGTGGAGTATGCTAACTGGTGAACTCTGCAAAGACTGGCTCCACCCAATCCCACGAGGCCCCGTGTGTCTCATCCCTGCAGGCCCAATCCTGACTGTCCACTGACCTCTGGAGGATGGTGGTCACCAAGCCGCCAGGGGGGATCAGGCGGAGGGACAGCACCCTTTCCCCCCTGTGGTAGCCTGGCGCCAGTAACCTACTTCAGGGACCGTACACATTTCTGCCTAAAGCCGCTGGGTTCCAAGATTTATTTCTGAGTCTCTTGGATCGTGGTTGTTAAGCAGCTTGATTAGGAGCCAGAGAGGCCTTTTTTGGGCGGCAACTCGGGGTTCTCAAGGCCCCTTGTATCTCGTCACTGCAGGCCCGAACCTGACCATCCAGTGGCCTCTGGAGGATGGCGGCCACCGAGCCAAGGCACGAAACCTATTCCCACCTGGGGTGGCTCGGCACTGATAACTTACTGCAGGGATCAGATACATTTCTGCCAAAAGCCGCTGGGTTCCAATATTTGTTTCTGAGTCTCTGGGATCATGGCCATTAAGCAGCTTGATCAGGAGCCAGGGAGGTCGTTCGTGGGCGGCGACTCGGGGGTCTCATTGGGGTGGGGAGGAAAGGGCCGGCTCCACCCCAATCCCGTGAGACCTCACGTGTCTTGTCACAGAGGACCCAAACCTGACTGTCCAATGGCCTCTGGAAGATGGTGGCCACTGAGCTGCCAAGGGGGAGCAGGCAGAGGGACAACACCCTTTCACCCCTGGGATGGTCCGGCGCCAGTAACCCATTGCAGGGACTGGACACATCTCTGCCAAAAGCCACTGGGTTCCGAGATTTGTCTCTGAGTCTCTGGGATCGTGGCTGTTAAGCAGTTCGATTAGGAACCAGAGAGGCCTTGCCTCCAATTATATAGCTGAGCCGGAGGTGGTTTGTGGGTGTGTCTCCCACATACCTAACTTTTGGCCATTTACTTTCTTGGTAAACTTTGCCCCATTTTTGGGGGGTGGTCTGGCCAAAGGCACAGCAGCAATTTTGGGTATCTGGAAGTCTGAAGACGCCATCAGGTTGCTGATGCACTCGCCTCACACGTACAGACTGACCTGCTGGCGGCACCATACCCCCATCCACTCCAGTTATTGACAGCCCATTTTGTAGCCCCTCAGATTCATTTTTCTCCATAGTGAGCCCTAGCCACTCTGCCATTTGGATAGGAAGGTTGAAGAACGGTGGTTTTAGTTCTCTGGCTGAGGGAATAGGAATGTACCCATGAGCCCCTGTTCAGTTCAATACCCTTACCTCATCCATGGCTTGACAGCTATACCTGATGCACCTGATTCTGACATTTCTCGGGGAGATGAACAGGCTTACTTGCTTGTTCTAAGTTACTGCTTTGCTTTTTTTTGTCCTAATAAGTTTCAGCCTTTCATTTTTGCTTTTAGAAAGGCATAAATTATCATTAAACACATTTTAATCATTTTTCCATGTTTTCACAGGAAGATTTTTTTTCTTTTTGGGTCACACCTGGCGATGCACAGGGGTTACTACTGGCTCATGCACTCAGGAATCACTCCTGATGGTGCTCAGGGGACCATATGGGATGCTGGGGATCGAACCCGGGTCGGCCTCATGCAAGGCAAACACCCTACCCGCTGTGCTATTGCTTCAGCCCCAGGAAGAACTTTTTTAAGCTTTTTATATAAGGGACCTTATTTTTAGCATAAGAAATATATGGCTTTTATCACATGGAAGTAGGTCTGAGTTCTCAGTAAAGGGTTTATTAGCTTAAAAAATTATTTCAGTTTTTTTTTTTTTTTGGTAATCCAGGGATTAAACCCAGGGCCTCACATGCTGCCATATTTTTAACAGGAAATATTGCTGTGTTGTCAACAGCAGATGTCTCCTGTTTGGTAACAGGCTAGCTAAGCCATCTGCCTCTTTAATTCTAAGAGTTGTTATCAAAAAAGATTTGGTGCATAACATAATTGAAAAGCAGGAAACTGCCAAGGTACTGAGGGCAGAACTCATTTCCAGTAAAATAAATCATTTCTATTGTGTTGCGTAAATTTTTCCTGGTACCTAGTTGGCACTTTGCTCTAATCCTCAGTCAGCCCATGAAGCACACTCTCACATTGTCTTCTTACTGGTGTTTCTACTCTGATTATTTTTTTCTCTATAGTTTGTAGGTGGACATGAATGAAGACCTTGTAGTTTTAGTTTGTTAGACTTGTCCATTTTTCTGCAGTCTTTCATGCACTTGCTGTCAAATGTTTGATTTGAAAATGGTAGATAATACCCTTAAGGAAGTACAGGGATTCAATTCAAGAACTTGAAGAAACTCATCATCAGTCATGTCTGGGAGTTTCTTTAAAAGATAAGATAAAGATAAAGGCCCTCCCGTTGATCGTCGATTTGCTCGAGCGGGCCCAGTAACGTCTCCATTGGAGACTTTGTTGTTACTGTGTCTGGCATATCGAATACTCTCGGTAGCTTGCCGGGCTCTCCGAGAGGGGCGGAGGAATCGAACTCGGGTCGGCCATGTTGGCCGCGTGTAAGGCGAACGCCCTACCCGCTGTGCTGTCGCGGGCTGGAGCGATAGCACAGCGGGTAGGGCGTCTGCCTTGCACACAGCCAACATGGCCGACCCGAGTTCAATTCCTCCACCCCTCTCGGAGAGCCCGGCAAGCTACCAAGAGTATTCGATATGCCAGACACAGTAACAACAAAGTCTCCAATGGAGACGTTACTGGGCCCGCTCGAGCAAATCGACGATCAACGGGAGGGGAGTTTCTTTAATCACCAGATTATCTTGGAAATTAACTTCTGACAGAAAATACACTTTCTTATGGCCTTGTCTGATGATCTTGATTTGATAATTAATGTTCAGCATAGTTGCTTAAGAGTTCAGGCCCTGAATGCAGACCCAGAAGGATGCCCTTCTGCTGGGTGTGCCCCTAAAAACAAAACAAAATGAGCTCAGACTAAGTAGATGTGGGTTTCTTTTATTGAGGGCCATACATAAGCAGTGACTTGATGGGAGTTTGTGGGGGAGGGCGTCATACAGTGCTGGGGATCAAACTCAGGGCCTCACACATGCTAGGCACTTGAACTGTTTCCCTGGCTCCCGCATGTGGATTTTGAGAGAGCTGCTATATGATGGCAGTCACAGCTGGTCTTGAAGGCATCTTAGCACATAGAATGAAGGAAGGGAGGTACCTCTCAAAGAAAAGAAGTAAAGTACGACTTCTTGCGAGTGGTGTGGACAGTAGTCTACATTACATTTATTGGGGATATGGGGGGCAGGCTGTTGCTATCAGCAGAAGAGTTTTCTTACTGTTCTGTCGCCTTAATGTGATGAAAGAAGTTGACTAATCATCTGGCAGCTTAACTTGGATATTTTGCTATTTTGCAATTTTTGCCTTTAGCCCTTGGAACTGATGGGTGATTATTTGCTAGATGTATGCTTTCTCTTGTTAATTCTGGGTTTAAATAAGATGGTATTCTTTGAAAGTGGCAGCTGTCACAAGCATGTTTTCTTTTCAGACCTTAACACAAGTGTAAATTTGGTACTGAATGTTCAGTGTCCCTGAGAATGCAGTTATTTCATCTCACACAGTTTGTGAGGAGATGTAGTTGAGGTTTTAGTAAGGAAACATTCATCGTTAGGCCATATTAGACCAGCATGGTATTAGGATTGTGAGTAACCTCTGTCCAGATAGCCTGAGTTCCTGTCCCGGCTCCATCTCTTGGTAACTAAGGGTCTTGGACAAATGGCTTTACTCTTCTAAGCTTCCAAAACACTAAATCTCTGCAGGGACATGACAGGTAAAGCACACAAGGCCCTGGGTTTCCCTGGGCTTGATCTTTGGTGATCCTCTTCACCCCTGCCCCCAAAGAAAAATCTGTCAGTATTTAAGAATGGAAAGTGTTTGCTGCTGTGATAATTTGACCAGGAGTTCCTTTGAGTTTGGGGAAGGAAGTGATTATTGTTTCTCACATTTGTTTTTCCAGTGATATTGTGGTCCAGATTGTAGATGCTCGGAACCCGCTCCTGTTCAGATGTGAAGATTTGGTAAGAAAGTATGACCAGAAAGGTTTGAAGGTTTTTGGAGCAGCTGTGGGAGGCCTGCGTAACTGAGAGCCCAAACGCCAGGCCTTCATTCTCTGCCCCTTCTGCTTTGTTTAGCTGGGGCTCCTCTCCTCCTGGGGTCAGGAGCTTGCATAATGCCACTGTTTAGACAGATGCTTTCCCTTTTCAAAGAATTGTTTCCATCTGCAGGAAAGCAGGGCACTAGCATGAACTAGCTAGCCTTGGATTCAGAAGCCACATGTCTGTTAGAGACAGTTACCAATGATGCTCATTTTTAAGTAACATTATTCAAAAGAGCATTTTACTTTCTTTACTACATTCCCAGTTGTGGTACTTGTATCCATCTGTGTTCTCTCTCATCTCTTAGTTTTTATTTCCTGTGATCTTCACAAGGGGACTAGTCCTGCAGAATACCATATGTGCATAAGGCAGGGGTCACAAGTGAGGATCACATGAAATAGTGGAACAGGCTTATGATGAACAGAACACTGTGCATGTGAGGTATTCCTATTTCTCTTTGCATATTAAAGCAGTAATAATGCAGATTATGTTTATAGTCACTGGTAAAGAACAAAACATAATGATGAAGCTTAATAACTTGGCTTTTATACCTTAGTATATTTTCTGTTGAAGAGTTTACCTGGGCCATCAATTTCGATTCTGGCTCTTGTTTTTCTATTACTTCCAGGTTTTGTTGTTTAAAAATACATTTTACGATTACCACTTGATTAAAAGTCATTACTACTAGCTGACAAATCTATTGTGTCACTTTTTAGTTTTGTTTAAAAGAAACAATTCAGCATTATTATAGAGGAACTTCAGTTGTTTAAAGAAAAAAAAAACCCTTATACTTCAGCAGAGCAGGAAATCATTACTCTGACTTTTCCCGCTTATGTTGAGTATTTATAAATATGTATGGCCTAGTTTCTTTCCAGCATTTGATGAGAGAATCAGCAGGATATAATAGGATTTAACATTTTTAAGACAGAAATAATTTAAAGCTAAGGGCAGTAAAGTACTCTTCATAGCTGGGGGTCCTCAATGTAATTAACCTAGCTTATTTGCTAGAAGAGTTCTAATTGCCTGTCTTTTGTCTTAGGAATGTTACGTAAAAGAAATCGATGAGAATAAGGAGAACGTCATCCTGATAAATAAGTCGGACTTGCTAACTCCTGGGCAGCGGAGTGCTTGGGCAACACATTTTGAAAAAGAAGGTGTGAAGGTTATTTTCTGGTCTGCTTTGGCTGAAACCATTCAACTGGCTGGTGACCATAAGGTAACCTCTGGGGCTTGGAGGAAGGAGAAGAATGTCAGGTTTCAACTGAGTGTGCTTTGATTTTTGTCCTTGGAGATGCGGGGATTCAGTTTTGTTTTGGGTTTGTGGTCTTGTTTTTTGGAGGTTTTCGGTTTTTTGGGAGTCATACCTAGCTGTGCTCAGGACTTACTCCTGGCTCTGTTCTGGTGAGCTCAGGGGGCCAGGTGGAGTGCTGGGAATTGAATCCACGCTGGCTGCTACAAGGCAAGCTCTCTACCCACTGTACTATCTCACCAGTCCCAGTTGCTGATTGGTTCTCTAGGCCATCTAGCCTGTAGGAAAATGCATCTCATGTTCCTTTCCCTGGCTGTCACATGGTCTGATGGCCAGTGTTCACTGTTAGGAACTGAGGCTCACTTTTGTAAAGTTTTAGGCAGGAAAATATAAGACATTTCATAATAGCCTTGTAAGAGAATAGAGTCAGTGCGGTAGTACATCAAGTAAGGGGTTTGCCTTGCACAGAGCTGACCTGGGATGGATCCCTGGCTTCTGTATCCCTGAACACTACCGTGAGTAATTCCTGTGCACAGAACCTGCGCAGTGCCAGGTGGGTGACCAAAAAACAAAACAATAACAAAAAACAGCTGGGCATGTGGCTTGGCAAGAGAGTATATCCTTGCATTTGTGAGTTCCTGGGTTGATTCCCCAGCACTGGAGCTGGTAATCTTTGAGTTGAGTACTTTGGGATTCTCTCGGTCATCTGTAAAAATGCTCCCAAGAGATTGACTTTCGGGGCTGGAGAGATAGCACAGCGGGTAGGGCGTTTGCCTTGCACGCAGCCGACCCGGGTTCGATTCCCAGCATCCCATATGATCCCCTGAGCACCGCCAGGAGTAACTCCTGAGTGCAGAGCCAGGAGTAACCCCTGTGCATCGCCAGGTGTGACCCAAAAAGCAAAAAAAAAGAGAGATTGACTTTCCCTTTCATTTTTAATAGATCGCTATAAAGTTCTTTTGTTGTTGCTATCAGCTTTCCCCAACTTCAGTTTTTCTATTATACACCCAGGTCTTATTGACATTCTTTATTTCTGGCTCATTTTTTTTTTTTTTCACTTTTTTTGCTATTAGCAATTACATTATTTCTTGCTACAAAAGTCACCAGATAAAGTAGTACAACTATCTAGTATAAAGCAAGTTTTAACCAAAAGACATGTTATAGACCTTAAAATATTCAAACTCTCTTACAATCACTGCAGGGAAATTTCAGGTTCTCTCAGAAATCTGCCTCAGTTTTTGAAAAATTCAGAAGCACATCTAGTGTACTAGCTTTACACATTCATTGCATATATTGCTAGAAATTCTTTTCTTTGCTAGTCCTTTTGTAAATCATCTTTAAAAAAAAAACATGTCTTTGTCTTTATTTGGAGGGTGGGGGAGCCCCTAGTAGTGCCCAGTGCTTATATCTTGCTTTGTGCTTAAGGACCACTCCTGGCAGAACTCAGAGATTTCAGAGACCAAACCCAGGGATCAGCTGTATACAGGGCAAGTACCTGACCCACTGTACTGCCTCTCTGGCCCAAGCCATGGTTATAGTTTTATTTTTGGTTTTACTCAGTTCCCAAGAGTGATCATGATTATACATATTTTCCTTGCCAATTAGAATCTAACTTGAGTTGATTATGTTCTCTTCTGTGAATTCTGTTCTACCTTCAGGAATTCAGAAAAATCTGCACGGTAGATTAATACATGATTTTTTTTAACTTTCTCCAGGGGAAACAATTGGTGAATATAGTCTGTCATATATGCTTAGCTGGCACTCTGGTTTTTATTTAAATAAGTAGTTATGAAAGAATAGTGGCTTCCTTATCCATGCAAGTTGCTCTTTAAAATATAAGGGCTGAGATGATAGCTCAAAGGACCGGAGCGCATGCTTTACATGTAGGGGCCCTGGATTTAATCCTGAACACCAAGCTTGGTTAGTCCCCGAGTACTACAAAAAAAACAAAAATACGGAAAATACTTTATGCAAAGAAGAAAGCGGTGATGGTCTGACATGTTGCTTATATGTAAAATTGTATACCTTGCATGCATGAGACCTGGGTTAAATTCCCCCCAGTACCACAGGGGTGGGGGGAAAAAGCTAAGGATTTCTTTAATGGGAAATGGTTTGTTCTTTGTTTACTTCAGAATAATAGAATAACATGAAAGAGCTCAACCTGTCACAACTTTTCTTAAATGTTTGACTTCATTAAAGATTTTTTTCATTATAGGGTCCACAGAGAACACACAGACCAAAGCACACACTTTGCAATGCAGGAGGCACTTCGAACTTCATTACAAAGTAGCACTGTCCTCCCGTTGTTCATTGATTTGCTTGAGTGGTCCCAGTAACATCTCCATTGTGAGACTTGTTGTTACCGTGTTTGGCATATCAAATACCTCAGGGGTAGCTTGCCAGGCTTTGCCGTGTGGGCGAGATACTCTCGGTAGCTTGCCGGGCTCTCCGAGAGGGGCGGAGGAATTGAACTCGGGTCGGCCATGTGGGCTGCATGCAAGGCAAACGCCCTACCCGCTGTGCTATCGCTCCAGCCCATTAGAAAGTAACACAGCTATTTGTACAGCTTTCATATGCTGTAAAAAGTATAAGATCCATCACTCCTCCCTTCTGCAGAGGACTGTCCCGTCCCTGAAGGGCAAGGTTCCTTGCCTGTATTTACCTTTTCAAGTCTTCTTCATAAATTTTTCTGTTTTCTGTTCATCTTACCCAGCGCTTCAGTATTTTTTTAACTAGTGGCAAACACAGCTGTTCACTTCTGAACTTGTGGCTTCTCGTTAATCAGGAGGGAGGAAACGAAGCTACTGGAGAGTCGTCTGAGTTGGAAGGTTCAAGCAGTGCCGCGAGTGAGGAAGATGACAGTGAGTACGAGGACTGTCAGGAGGAGGAGGAGGAAGGCTGGCAGACGTGTCTGGAAGAGGACAGTCCAGATGAGGAGAGCTGCAGCCAGGACCGGCAGGAAGCCACGCGTGTGGAATCCAGGCCTCAGGGGAGGGAGGCCCCAGCAACGAAGCCGATACGCAATTTCAGCCACCTGGTATCCAAGCAGGAATTATTGGAGATCCTGAAGGAGCTGCATACTGGGAAGAAGGCAAAAGATGGGCAACTTACTGTGGGACTGGTAAGATGAAGTGTCTCGGAAAATTGATGGCACATGGGCCCCTGTATTCCCCAACTCTTGGTAGCCTACACTGGAGCCTATGCAATTGCCCATTTGTTGCTCTATGATGTCATGGGAGCAGGTGGTGGGAAAGACAAACACCAACTGAAAATAATGAATTTCTCAAGGCATATATTGTGTATACCTTTTATTATGTTCATAATTTTTCTTTTCTCCAGTGAAAATTATGTTCATAATTTTTCTCTTCACCAGTGTCTTTTCAGTTTAGCTCTGCATAACAGAAGTGATATTAATTAGAAGGAGAGGCCAGAGAGATTGTATAGGGGTTAAAACACTTGCCTTTTCTGTAGCTTGTCCTGGTTTGATGCCCGTGCCAAGCGTAAGCTCTGATTAATGCCAGGTGTGGCCCAGAAACAAAAGAACTAGTAGGAGATTGCTTTAGATGATGTTTTAAATTTCTTTCCAGTTCTTTTAACCTTCTGTGGACTTGATATTGCCACCTTAAATTCTTTCTTTACAGATGCATTTTAGGAAGAGACCCAGCATCTTGGGGCCAGGTAGAATACATGAGATTGTTTAACTGCAGATAGAAAAAAGATCACATCTCTAACTAATTACATAAACCCTGATGTTAAGCTCCAGAAAGTCCCATATTGCGCTAAGGAAATTTAAGATGTAAGAGAAAGTATTTTAAAAAAAGAACAGAACAGAGATTGACAGGCTAAATTGCTTGCCAGGTATAGCTAATTTTAATTATTTACATCCCGAACATCATCTTCAAAGGAAAAAAACCTAGGAAATTGATGGTGTGTCGTCATCATCTTCTTTGTCATTATTACCCCACCCCACCCCACCCCACCCCCTAGTTAGCTACAGGAGCGTTAGTGGTTATGCTTTTGCATATTGGTGTTCTGTTGTAGCACACCAGCTTTGAGTTAGCTTGGAGCAGGCAGCCTAACATAATTCCCTGTTCTGCAGTACCACTGACAGGCTAGTAATTTGGGAGTTAATTCCTCGCATCTTTCAGGCTTTGTTTCTCAGTCTTACTGCTCACAGTTTATTTTCCACGTGCACCAGAAAGCTCAACTTCCTACAGTGCCACACAGCCTCCTCACTTTGTATACTTTTTACCGTGGGAATCCTGAAGGGAGGTATTCATTCTACAAATACTTATCAGTCATATGCCTGCCACATGGCGCGTGTCCTGCAAGGCATGCCACAGACCAGGCACACTGCTCACCCTCACAGCTTGCTGTAGTGCTGGAGGGACCACTCGAGCTTCAAAGCCATCCCGAGAATGAGGGAACCTGGTGAGGTGGAGGGAGAGCAACAAACAAAACCTTTGAACAGATCTCTCGGGAAAATGTGATGTAAATACCTTATGGTATGCGAGGATCAAAGTTCAGTAGCAGCTCATCAGAAATCTTCCATCAGTAGCTGCCCCTTGAATTAACCATGCAGCGCTTTATACCAGGGCTCCACTGGGAGAAGCTAGGTAGACGCTGTAGCTGTGGTCGTGGCCTGGCCTGTTGGCCACTGAGCTGTGCAGCCCAGTGTCAGTGGGCCAGCACCACTGAGGGATGCATAATGGTTTGTGTCCATGAAAAGATAGTCCAGACAGACAAAGGGGGAAGGTTTCACCCAAACTTCAAGAATGGAAAAGAGTTTACATGGGATGGAAGGGACTGAGTGTGGCTCCTTTGAAGTGTGGCTCCTTTACTACTGTAAGACTATAATGTCAAAGTCTGTTTCTGCTGAGTTTGGTAATAGAGAGGGAACGTGTGGGATTTCATAGCAAGGGGACAGGTATATTCATTTTTCCTGTCGTGTTGAAAGAATCTTGGAACCATGTAAGAGAGGAAACCTGGGAAAAACCATGGGACTTGAGCAAAACATTTACTTGTCCTTTTGAAAGATTTGTCCCTTATATGGTTTTGCTTGACCTAGACATTTGAAATTTCAGGTATACTAAGAAGTTGGGGAGAACCAGGGCTAACCCAAAGAGGTATTGAAGAGCTTTTGTAGCTAATTAATTAGACTTTTTTTTTTAATTAAACAAGAAATAAAATAGCACAGCAGTAGGGCATTCGCCTTACAAGCGGCCAACATGGCCGACCCGAGTTCGATTCCTCCGCCCCTCTCGGAGAGCCCGGCAAGCTACCGAGAGTATTCGATATGCCAGACACAGTAACAACAAAGTCTCCAATGGAGACGTTACTGGGCCCGCTCGAGCAAATCGACGATCAACGGGAGGGCCTTTACCTTTACCTTTTACCTTTTAAACAAGAAAAAAAAACATTGTGATACTGGGACAGAGAGATAGTAAAGGAGTTAAGGTGCTTTTCCTGCAAGAGTCTGGCCCCCGTTCAGTCTCCAGCACCACATACAGTCTGGTCTGTTCTGTTGAGTACCACTGAGCACAGCCAGGAGGAAGCCTTAAATATCTCTGCATAGGGGCTGGAGCAATAGCACAGCGGGTAGGGCGTTTGCCTTGCACGCGCCGACCCGGGTTCGATTCCCAGCATCCCATATGGCCCCCTGAGCACTGCTAGGGGTAATTCCTGAGCACAGAGCCAGGAGTAACCCCTGTGCATTGCTGGGTGTGACCCAAAAAGCAAAAAAAAAAAAAAAATCTGCATATTCCCCCTCCTCCATCCTCCAAAAGAAAAATATGCTGATGATCTTAAAAATCACAATTGTGTGTTGAATCATGAACATAGCTGTTTTGGGCCAAGGGTGTGGTTCATTGGTAGAGTTTGTCCTACCTGTCTGAAGCCCTCGGTTCAGTCCCTGGTACGGCCAGAAAAAATTGTCCCTCCCTCATGTGCAGAAGTTGCTGTGGGAAAAGTCTACTACCTGGATCAGAGGGTGAAGTTTACTGTATCAGAAACTGAAAGAATAGAATGTACTTAGATGATTGTTCATCACCAGGGATGAGTCTGAAGGATTCCCACCACTGGAGGGAAAACATCTGTACCAAACAGCATCAGTTTCTAGTCTCGTGAGACAGCCAGATACTCAGATTAATGTTGGTCACTGTCTGTCATATAGGCAGATCTTTTACATGCTCTTTGCTGGTTTCTAAATCTCTTAGGTGGGATACCCAAATGTTGGTAAGAGCTCAACAATCAACACCATCATGGGCAACAAGAAAGTGTCCGTGTCTGCCACGCCTGGTCACACCAAGCACTTCCAGGTATTTCTGTGGTATTCGCCTCTTTCCCTCCACAAGTTCTTTGCCATTCATATGCTTCCCTTACCTCCTTTCCTATTCTGGATGCCCAGAGGAAACCTCGTTTGTCTCTTCTCAGACGCTGTACGTGGAACCCGGCCTCTGCTTATGTGACTGTCCTGGCCTGGTGATGCCGTCCTTTGTCTCTACCAAGGCAGAAATGACTTGCAATGGAATCCTCCCTATTGACCAAATGCGAGACCATGTCCCACCCATATCACTAATATCCTTTGTGCTTAGCAGAGATTCTGGTAGCTGTGTTTATATTTGGGATTTAAGTTGGTTTTCATTTTGTCTTGTATTAAGGTTTCTAGGTCTGAAAAGTCTAATTTAGCTCATGATCTTTCCAACTTCACGTGTGAAAATAGCATAGACTTCAGACTTAGAGCCTCCTATTTAGATTGTAACCATGTAGCCTAGTACCAAGGGGAAAATCCAGGCTCTGCAACTCAGCCCCTGCTTGCAAGCCTTTTGGCCTCAGGCACTCCCATTTCACTATTTTAGTGGCCTTAGAAAACTTGCTTACCTTCCAGAAAATGTGTCTCTATAAAACAAGGTTAATAATATCCACCTTAGAGTTGATAACGAGAATGTAATCCTTATTGAATTTAATAATGCATACATACTCGCTGTGTGCAGTTTCCCAGACACTTGCCATGAAGTAACTTTATTTAATTCTCCCAACAACCCTTGATGTGTGCACCACTATTGTTCTCATTTCCTCAAGTCTGAGGGAACCGAGGCATGGAGACGAAAAAAGAATTTGCCTCAGATCTCACGGCTGGCAGGTAACAGACGAGCAGGTCTGCCTCTCTCCTCAGTCTAGTGAATTAGCTAAGGTGAAATATAGTCATCAGACATGTGTTGAATATTTACTGAAAGTCAGACTGGTTTGGGTTTGGGTTCTCTGGAACACAGGCATGAATCAAAGGTGCTTCCAGCTGCGGGATAAGGGGCATGTCCATGACAACCTGGCCTAAGCTAGAAGGGTGTAAATGCTTTAAGGAACTCGATGGGGGAGTGAAGCAAGGGGCAAGCTTTAATAATCAGAAACTGCTTATTCTCTGAATTCACATCTCATAGGTGTATTATTTAGAATATTGTTGTTTGGATAAAATGTGATCTCATTTTAGAGATATTTTAATGGTTATTTTGTAAAAGATTTATTTGGAAATGGTTGATGCCCAAGGCTTGAATAGTCTTCTGAGAGATGTGTGTCACAGAACTGTGAAGTCCTAAATTCTTTTTTTTTTTTTAAGATTTTAACTCTTTGGGCCATTGTCTTTCATTTTATTTAAACACCATGTGGTACAGTTGTAGACTTAAAATTTTTTGTACTTGGGTTTCAGTTATACAATGATTGAGTACCCATCCCTCCACCAGTGCCCATTCTCCACCTCCAGTGCTCCCAGTATCCCCATCCCACCCCACCCCTATGAAAGGGCATTCCCTTTTGTTCTCTCTCTCCTTTTGGGTGCTGTGGTTTGCTAAAGAGGCATTGAGTGGCAATCATGTTCGGTCTATAGTCTACTTTCAGCATGCATCTCCCATCCTGGGAGGATCCTCCCAGCACCCTTTATTTGGTGCTCCCTTCTCTATCTGAGCTGCCTTTTCCCCTAGCATGCGCGGCTGACCTCCAAGCCATGGAGTTATCCTCCTGGTGAAGTACCAAATTCTTAAAAGCATGAAATTGGGGGTCCCGCTGAAGGAATGGATTCCTTAACTAGCTTATGTTTGCCAGAATATTCCAAGACATGTTTTAGAAGCTACCTATGGCATTAGTATAGTAATGCCTACAGAGGATGAAGATCCCACTCGACCACCAACATCAGAAGAACTGTTAACAGCTTATGGGCGTGAGTTGTGATTCATTATTTTGTTTTGGGATTGAGGGCCATTTCTAACTGTACTCTGGGGTGCTCAGGGGTCACTTGCAATTATGCCGGTGTGGGGAGGGCATGGAGAATGTTCCTAGGCAGAGGTAAAACTTCAGAAGCTATCCATAAGCTTCTCAATGTCATGGTCCAGGATTGTTCTTATGTTGGCCTTGTCTACAGAATGGCCTCTAGGCTGCCTATTAGGTGGTGGTTCTAGGGTCGGTAGTAAGGATAGGAGGGATGAGTGGTACTTACTGTGGTGTATTAAGGACTCTTCTTTTTTTTTTTTTAACATTTTTATGTTTTTTGGCTCACGCACGGAAGTACTCAGGCGTTAATACTGGCTCTGTGCTCAGGACTCACTCCGGTTAGACTCGGGATCGTATGTTTTTCCGGGGATTGAACCCAGGTCAGCTTGCATGCAAAGCAACTGCCCTACCCACTGTGCTGTCTCTGTGGCCCTATTAAGTACATTTTAAAATTAGCAAATTTGTGTTCCTTTCTATTTCTCCAGGTCTATCCTTTCCCTAATCTTCCAGAATCACTCCCTGGCGAAAAATGTCTTTCCATCCTCTCCTGATGTCTACTTGTTTGAGACCAAGTCCTGGTGGTGGTACAAGCTCTCATAAGGGGGAGCAGAGCTGGTAGGCAACTACCACTTTGTTAAGGAAAGGTCCTTGGTGTGTTTGCCACTTTGATGGCATTCTGGTACAGGCACTGGGTCACTACTCTTTCTGGGCTCTTCAGCCAAAAGGGGACATTGGGGGCCAGGTGGATGAACATATTGATTAGAACAGGAGAGGAAGGTTACAAAGGGGTATGAGAAGGGCAAGCCTTCAGCTTGGGACAGATCCAAGCCCAGAAAGCACAGGGACTCAGAACCCCCTTTACTGTCATTAGGGCTGGAGATTATAATGAACCCACAGGGACTTGGGAGATTGTTCAGCAGGAAGGGCGGTTCGTTGCATGCAGCCATTCCCAGTTGGATCCTCAGCACCTCACATGGTTCCCTGAGCACCGCCAGGAGTTACCACTGGGCACAGAGCCAGGAGTAAACTCTGAGTACTACCAGATGTAAAAAAATAAAATGAGTCCACAATTCCCATCTCCATGTTTACCCTGGGGACTTAATTTTGCTTATTATTGCTTTGGTCAGCTGTGATATGTTGCCATTAAAGATGGCCGGGAGGACTTGCATCTGCCTGCAGAGGTAGCAACCTTTAAAATATTCCCTTGCTTCTGTTGCTGATTTTAAAGGGACTGTCAACTGGGAGGAAGTTGGGTTAAGAATCTACTGACAGAAAAGGGTGATTTTAGATGAACCATGCATAAGTCAGACCTTCAGTTACCTTAGTTGAGAAACTTGAAAGAGATAAATGCCAAGCTCTGTGCCACAAAATCATAGAAGATAACATGTTCCTTTTCTCATGAAGTTTTGCAAAATTCATTTCTTAGGTATGCGAGGTTTCATGACAGCACATGGGCAGCCAGATCAGCCTCGGTCTGCACGCTATATCCTAAAGGATTACGTCAGTGTAAGTGCAGCCTGCTGCTTGTGCGGGGCCCCTTCCACACTTCCTCATTGGGGTTGTCTTATAGTTGGAGTTGCAGTCTTCATCCAAAGGCTGTGAATCAAAGAAAGGGCTAGCAGCGTGCTTTGCAGATACACTTTACGTTGCTGCTGGCATGTGTACATTTCCCGGATCCCGTAGCAATAATGGCTAATTTTATTCATAGCTGCCTCTGCTCGAAATAGCTCCAAGTCTTTCATTGGTGTTTGAGGGGGGTCAGAGTAGATCGTTGGATTGACTGAGCACACGCTATGCATGTGGGAGGCCTGAGTTCACTCCTTGGCACCACTGGAAGAACAAAGCCTGGAATAGCTCCCAGCAGCACAAGGTGTGGCCCAAACGCCAAAAGAAATGAAACAAATGTTTTATGTGTATTATTGAAAGTACATAATAAGTCTGTACAGGTATCTCATATTACAAATGAGGACATGTTAAATTTTCGTGTTTTCCTCACCATTAAAATAGGATTCTTTGGAAAGCAACTAATAATACGTAGCTCGAGATTATGAAGGTAAATAAGAACCACAGATGAATGCACTAAGCTCAGTGCATGACACATAATATGTTTTAGGTTTTTATGTACTAAGCTTAGTTATTACCACCAATAAGCTTTTGTGGATGGTGTGATAGTGTGGTGGGTAGAGCCTTGCACGTGGCCAACATGGATTTTGTACTTGGCATCCCATATGGAATGCCAGGAGTAACCCCTGAGCATCAGCAGGTGGGGCCCCCAAAACTATATGTAATTGTAAAGAAGTTTATAGTCTATAATGAAGATTTGTCTGTTGCACCTCCTCAGTACTAGGAGAGTGGGGCTCTTGGAACATAAGGGTGAAAACAGTTGATCAGATTCATTTGCCTTTGCTTAAACGAAAGTAGTAGAATATTTATGTGGATTAACTATGTAGTCATTTCTTAAAATTGTGGTGGAAGTGATAAGTCAGTCAGCGTTTCACTGAGTTGGTGGTTGAAAGGAAAATTGGTACCTGGTGATTTTGCATACAGCCCACAGTATTACTGTGGTTGTTAGCTTGGTTTTTGTTTTGGAAAAAGAAGCTTCTCATAAATACAATCATGTAAGTGGAGTGAAGTGGAAATGCAAACAAGGTACAAAGAACAAGAATTCATTCTAATTTGGGAGACAATGGGAAAAAATCCAGGCCACTCGATGACTCTCCAGAAGCGTCATCATTGTGCTGGTTAGCTCAGTTGCAATTGATCAGAACTCGGCGAGCTTAATTAGAAAGCAGAAAGCACCAGCATGGTATTGGAGGATGCAGATCACGCTGGAGGTGGCCTTTGGGATGATCCAGGTGTGCTATGTGACCATTTTTCTTGTCTTTATAGGGTAAACTGCTATACTGCCACTCTCCTCCCGGAAGCGAGCCTGTGGCCTTTCAACATCAACACCAGCAACTCCTCGAGATGAAACTGAAGGGTGATGAAGTAAAAATACAGTCTGGAGGGAATAAGAAAGTCAAAAAGATTCAAAATGTTATTGATGAAACTTTTTTCCATCAAGTGAGTTGTAAGATTTCTCTTTAATATCTGACAAAGAGCTTTATTGAAGTAATCATATTCCATAAAATATACCTTAAGAGTTGTACAGCCATCACTGATAATTTTGTACATTTTTTTATTATTCAAAAAAATAACCCTGAACCCAGTACCTTCAAGATTCATCCATGTCTCATACTTAATTTCTTCTTATTGTCAGATTATTGTGCAGTGTTTGATATGCTACATTCTATTTATCAACTGATGAACTTTAGGTTCTTGTCGCTTTTTGTCTATTAATAATGCCACTGTGAATATTCACATGTGATCTTTTTCCTATCCAAATTTTCTGTGGTGTTTAGAGGCCGCCCTAAAAGCCTCTGTCCCTCTCGGAGATCCTGGCAAGCTACTGAGAATATCCTGCCCACACGGCCTGGCAAGCTATCCGTGGCATATTCAGTATGCCAAAACCAGTAAATACGACGGGTCTCATTCCCCTGACCCTGAAGGAGCGACCAATACAGCAGTGTTAAGGAGAGGCTGATAAAATCTCAAGGCTGAACTAGGCTGCCAAAACGAAGGACAAAAATGACTGTCTGTACTTTCGGTGCACATATGCTGGCATCAGATGTATCCGTCAAGGACCTGACGGTACAAGGGTGAAAGATCAAGTACGACATCATTGGTCTGACCAAGACGAGAAGGCATCAATCACATCACGCCATTTTCGACACTGGGGAAGAACTGTTCCTCGGAACATGCAACAAAAGAGGCATCGGTGGTATCGCTGTCCTTGTCAACACAGACTTGGCGATGAGCACTGATTCATTCAAATGCCTAACAACCCGAATCAGACCATTACACTTGAATAGATGGGACTCACTGCCAGCAGTTTCTGTCTTCGTTGTCTACACATCAACATCCAATCATGATGAAGGAGAAATTGAGAAGTTCTACATGGAGCTGGAGAAGTTCTATAAAGAAGACCACACCTTCTACAAGATCATTGTCGGTGCTTTTAATGCCAAGATAGGACCGAGAAGATCAGCCGAAGAACTCCACATTGGGACCCATGGCCTAGTATGGAACGAACAGGGTGAGAAACTGTCTGAGCTCATCATGTCAACCAAGACCTTCTATGGTAACTCACAGTTCCAGAAGGCCAAATCTAAACATTGGACATGAGAATCTCCCAGTGGATGGTTCCACAACGAAATTGACCACATCATATTCAATCAACAGTTTTGCCTGATTGGTGTCACTGTTGCCCCAAAATTCCAAACGGGATTGGACCACCGTCTCCTTCGTGCAAAATTCTACTTAATGGAGCAGGGAGAAAGGGCTGCAAAGTTTAAGAGAACTTCCAGAACGACCACCAACTGGGAGCTCTTTGGCACTATTACGGCAACATGGGAAGATGCCATCATTGACAACATTGACAAGGAATATGATCGACTGGTTCAGCAACTCCATGATTGTGCAAGGAACGCCAAGAGAGAGAGAATAGCCATAAAAAGACGCCTGTCTTCAAAAACTCTTAAGCTCAAATGCCAACGTGGCTTGGCGCAAGCCTCAGGCAACCACAAACAAATGTCCGAGCTCGCAAAGCAGTGCAGAGAAGCGATCAAGGAAGACCTCAAAGAGAGAAGAGCAGACGTGCTGGCAGATGAGGCAGAAGCTGGGAAAAGCATTTGCAACGCTCGCCTGTTCCTTCACCAACTGCAAGACCAAGATGACTGCCCTCCGACGTCCTGATGGATCTATCACATCTTCCAGAAGGTCAGTGGAGAAGATTATCCATGACTTCTACACGGATCTCTTCAATAGCCACATCCACCTGCCCACATACCAAATTCCACAAGATGGATATGTCATTCCCAACGTTCTCCCTTCCGAAATCCGACACGCCATTTCATCGATAAAGAAGCGAGCAGTACCCGGCCCAGACAAGGTCAGACCCAAACACCTGAAGAACCTGCCATCAGTACTCATCAGTACACTGGCTCAGCTTTTCACACGCTACTGTCTGAATGCAAGGTTCCGTCCCAGTGGAAAACCAGTAGGACTGTACTACTGTTCAAGAAGGGAGACATCCACATTGGCAACTATCGCCTGATCTGCCTATTGTCTGTTATCTACAAGCTGTTCACTCGAGTCATCCTGAATAGGATTGGCAGAACACTAGATGAAGGACAACCATGCGAGCAAAACGGATTTCGAAAAGGATCCAGCACAATTGACCATATCCACGTGGTAACAAAGCTCATTGAGGTTTTCCGGTAGTTCAAGATGCCACTCTGTCTAACTTTCATTGATTTAAAGAGGGCCTTTGATTCTGTTGAGACTGAAGCAATCATTGAAGCCCTAGCGAAACTGGTCGTTCAAACTCAATACATCAGGATCCTCCATGAGCTGTATTACAGATTCACTACCAGGATCTCACCATTCTACAAGGAAGTCATCATCGGTGTCAAGAGAGATTCGGCAAGGTGATACCATTTCACTGAAACTCTTCAGTGCCACCCTCCAGAACGTCTTGCAATGACTGGAATGGGAAGGAATGGTAGTGAAGATAGTTGGTCGGCAACTACACTACCTCCGCTTTGCTGATGACATCATTCTAATAACACCAAACATTAGCCAAGTGGCATAAATGCTGACCAACTTCGACTGCGAGTGTTGGACTACAGCTAAATCTACAGCTAAATCTCACGAAGACAATGTTTAGAGGAACGGTCTCTTCCCTGACGTTCCATTCACTCTCAATAAAACAAACATCTCCAAATGCAACAGTTATGTGTACCTAGCTCGAGAAGTCAGCATGATGAATGACCCAGCACCAGAGTTGCACAGGAGGAAGAGAGCGGTTTTGAACACCTTCAAGAGCATCAAAGAAATAGTTAAGAGAATGAAGAACCTCTGGCTCTGGGCACATCTCTTCCATTCCACTGTTCTTCCTGCATTAACATACGCCTCAGAGACCTGGGCCCTACAAAAACAGGATGAGAATGTTATTCAGGTCTCCCAAAGAGAAATCGAAAGAGCTATGCTTGGAGTATCACGCTTCACTCAAGTGAGAAAAAGAATTCAGAGTTCTGACCTCTTGACAATCAAGAATCAGGGACGTTGTCTCGTTTGCCAAGGTGTCGAAAGTCATATGAGCTGGACACATAATGAGATTTGGAGATGACTGCTGGACTAGAGCCATTACTGACTGGTCAGAAGATCATGTGGCCACTCACCTACAAGATAGTCATACTTCTTTATCAAGGCCCGAAACGATCGCTTTGAGGCTCTTCGTGTTCCTAGAACAAGCAGGCGCCATTGAGCTACACTAGCATGCGACAGGGACAAATGGAGATGTTACTGGCGCCCGCTCAAGCAGATTGATGAATAACAAGATGTCAAGTGATTCTGTGTGGCATATCTTTTCAGTTCCCTCACATAAATACTTGTGTGGGATTTTTATCGCCCTACATTGTATGAAGTGTATGTCTCCCCTTGTTGGTGCAGGTGAGGGGCTTGGGCCTTACCCAGTAGTACTCTGGGGTTACTCCTGACTTTCAGTAGTGACTCCTGGTAAGGTCAGGGGACTATATAGTACCAAAAGTCAGGGGCCAACTTCCTGCAAGGTCAGCTCCATATCTCCTGTACTCTTCTCAGCTCTATTCTCATTCACCCTTTTATTGAGAAGTAACTGACATACGCATCTGTAAGTTTCGGGGGAACAGTGCCTTTTTTGCAAGAAAAGAAAAGCAGTTTAATCCCTGGTACTGCCATATCACTAAGGACAGCTTCCCTCCGCCCCCCCCCCCCCCCCGGCCTCACTGCCACTGTGATCCCTAGTGCCAAGTGTGCAACCTTTTGAATACTGAAACAAAGGGAAGGGCAAGATAAGTGTTAAAAATAAGTAAGAGGGGAAACTAGAGTGATAACACAGCAGGTAGGGCGTTTGCCTTGCACGCGGCTGACCCAGGTTCGATTCCCAGCATCCCATATGGTCCCCTGAGCACTGCCAGGAGTAATTTCTGAGTGCAAAGCCAGGAGTAACCCCTGTGCATCGCCTGGTGTGACCCAAAAAGCCCCCCCAAAAAAAATTTAAAAAATAAGTAAGAGGGGACCAAAGTGATAGTACAGAAGGTGGGGCACTTGCCTTGCATGCACCAACCTGTGTTTAGTCCCTGGCATTCCATGTGAGTCCCTGAAGCATAGCCAGGAATAATTCCTGAGTGCCCCAAAAATTTAAAAAAGAAAATTCACTGTCCAAAGCCAGTTTTATTGCAGAGTTTCAATTGTATGCCTCTCAGTGAGCTTTTGCTAAGGCAACAAAGTACATCACTGTCCCCATTTTACTGCCAAGGGCATTGAGGTGCAGAAAGGCTATGACTTGTTCTAAATGGAAAAGCTGCATTAGAATTTATCATTGCTATTAGATTGAGCTATTCCCAAGTCTGTGCCAGTACTAGAACATTTATCAATAAACAGATTATAAGTTTTTTCCTGAGCTTACTACATCATACAAGGACAGAGTGTACAACTATTTTTAGATGCATTCCATGTGTCGGATATTTCATGTTTGTTCTTTCTTCCCAGGAAAATGTCAGAGCTTTAACCAAAGGAGTCCAGGCTGTGATGGGCTACAAACCTGGCAGTGGCCTGGTGACAGCAGCTTCTGTGAACTCTGAGAGCAGGGCTGGGAAGCCCTGGAAGAAGCATGGCAACAGGAATAAAAAAGAGAAGAGTCGCAGACTATACAAGCACTTGGATACATGAACACGAGCTGCAGCAGAAATGGCGTCTGCATTGTGCATCGGTGCAGAAGCGTAGCTGCTGCTTGTCCCTGTGGTGCTGTGCGACGGAGCCCCCAGAGTCAGAGTCCAGACTGAAGGCCCTGGCTGGGCCAGCTCCAGCCAACATACACCTCCTGGAATACCAGAAATCTAATTGAGAAGACTGAGTGTAAGAAGAGGGGGTGAGCAATGAGTATTTATTTGTGTCGACACATACACAAATGCAATCATTTGTAATTTGAAAGATATTAAAATCAGATCGCCTCTAAATGTGTTTTAGTGGTTTACATGAGCACACTGCCATTGGGATAGCCCACGTTCTTTTTTTCTTTTTTTTAAGTCCACGATTTTTAAACTCTGAAACATCAGTGAGCTTTTAAATGGATTTTTTGAATCCACTATTTAGTTTAGGGATTCTCAACTTCCCACTCATACAGAACACATCTTGGAAGAAGAGGCAGACATGCGTGATTTTTTTTTAAATCTATCTTTGCAAACCTTGATCCACAGGGCTGGAGAGAGTGCAGAGGTTAAGACACTTGGGTTGCGTGTTCTCACCGCCACCACAAGGCTCAACTCCAGTACCGCCTGGGGTGATCCCTGAGCAGTGCTGTGTGTGGACTCCCCCTGGCCCTTCACACACATACCATGACTACAGAGGAAAGCAGGTATTGGGGCTGGGCACACCTGGTAGTGCTCAGGAACCGTGGGGCTGGGAGTCCCCCCTGGCCTACTCCAGACCCCAAAGCCTGTGTTTCGTTGTTTTAGAGCAACCATTTGCAGAGGTGAGGAAAGAGGCCTCCAGTTGCATGGTTTGTATTTGAGACCTTGGGGGTCCCTGCTGTCCTTAGTTCAGTTTATCTCCTATCCACTCTACTACACACGGGCTATATCAGCCTCTGTGTGTATCTCCTTTTTCCTTTGAGCTTCATTAGCCCTTCAGCCACTCATATCCTTACTTTGTGGTATGTCATAGATATTTCTAGGTACCTAACAAGTTACAGATGTTTGCTCCAGTTAAAAAAGTGCATTTCCACAGAAAGCGATTTCCTGAGCTATATTATATTGATTGGCCTCCCCCTGCAAGTTCACCAATGAATACAGATAATCAGCCTTGCTTTAAAACTTGTCATACATTTAAATGTTATTTGAAGATATGTTAGCCTGAAAAATTTTTGCTTGACTCATTTCATTAAATACTTTCCAGTTCCCACATATCAGGAAGGACAGGGGCAGCAGCAGTAGAGCCATGACACAACAGCGAGGGACTGTGACAGTTAAGCCTGACCTTGGAAAGGAGTCTAAAAGCTTCCTCCAAAATCAGTGGGTAAAAGGAGCGATGAGATATGCTCTAATGCCTATTTAAGAGACAAGGTGGTTCATACATATTTGATGATATTAAGCTATACCCTTGAGATTCTATAATGAAAAGGAGAAGGAAAGTTTAAAATAACGTTACAGAGAAAGAATAGGACTCGAGAGTATAGTGGATAGGGCAGTTGCCTTGCACACAACCGACTTGGGTTTGATCCTCAGCATCCCATGTAGTCCCTTGAGCAACCCCAGGAACGAATCCTGAGTGTAGAGCTAGGAGTAAGGCAAGAGAATGTGACGGTCTAGATGAGGAAGAATCCAAATGAGTGCCAGAGACTAGAAATTTCAGTGATTTGTAGTTCTAGGCCAAAATGAACTTGAGTGGGTTTCTTTGTAGAGTGATGGAATATTCTGAAATTAGAGTGTGGTAATAATTGTTGTATAACCTTAGGTAAAGGTAAAGGTAAAGGCCCTCCCGTTGATCGTCGATTTGCTCGAGCGGGCCCAGTAACGTCTCCATTGGAGACTTTGTTGTTACTGTGTCTGGCATATCGAATACTCTCGGTAGCTTGCCGGGCTTTCCGAGAGGGGCGGAAGAATCGAACTCGGGTCGGCCATGTTGGCTGCTTGTAAGGCGAACACCCTACCCGCTGTGCTATCACTCCAGCCCCTAACCTTAAAGTCTCTAAATTGCAACAGCATTCGTGGCATGTGAATTGTTTTCAAGCTTTGTTTTATTTTTGGTTTGGGGGTGACAACTATGAGCTCTCAGGGCTGCTCCTCGTAGTTTAGGGGGACTGCACTGCTGGGGATTAAACCATGCGAAACATGCACTTAAGCCCTTAAGCTATCTCTGCAGTCCTGTGCATCAACTTTAAATGACCCTGGGGAAGTAGTAGCTGAACCCAGTCTGGCCTGGGGTAGGAATTCAAGATAAGGAAGTCACCTGCAAGGGCTGGAGATAAGCAGTAGTGAAATGTGTTAGGTGTAGGAGGAATCTGTCAAGTATCATAACTAGAGATAAGAATATTTAAAGTTTGGAATTGAAGGGCGCAGGGAGGCAGGGATTGGCCCTGGTAGATTTTTAATATCCCTATTCAACTGGACTTGAAGTAAACTTGGGAGTGGCTGGGAGGAGTTGGTTTGTGGCTTTACAAATAAAATTTAAGGCATCGGGTGAAAGGTTTATTCCAGTCAAGGCTGAGGTTGACTTAGGACTGAGTGCAAGCAGTTTTGAAAGTGTGAACCTCCGTCAGTGACTTCGTATTTCCAGTCATTTCTGTTTAGAGCGGGGAAACCTAAAAAGCAGTGATGGAAGAGTAACAGCCCTCCTGCGTGGGAAACGGCCTCTGCCCCTCACTGAAGCGCAGGCTCAGGCCTACGGCACAGTTGTCACACCAGACACAGTATATACTTAACTCAGTGGTGCAGTGGCCAGCACCTGAAACTGGAAAAACAGTCTGCTAGGTTCGCATGCTTTGTTTTCTACTAGTGTTAGTATTGAGATCGTTCATGTTCTGTGCAAATTCACTATTTAAATTATATAATTTAGTCTTTTTTTAATCTATTCAGGGTTGTGTGGACTTATCATCACAGACAATTTTACATTTTTATCACCCTAGAAAGAGACCCGTGACCAGAGAACTCCACGGGGTGAAATGCAGGCTTTGCCTGCAAAAGGGCCTCATTTGATCCCTGGTACATCCTAGTTCCCGAGCACTGCCAGGACTGACTCCTGAGCACTAAGCCAGAAGTGATTCCTGAGCACTCGAGGATGTGGCATAAAAACAAAATAAATGTAGTACCTTTAGTGATCAGCTCCCAATCCTTTCATTCTGGTGCCCGTTTCCTAAACTACCAGTAAAACATTTAGAGAGTTTCCTCTTCTGCTCTTTGACAGAGATAGCGTTACCTACTGTAGGATCTCTAGTTACTGGGCATGTGCCTCATGTCTTCAGGTTCATTAATTAGGGACCCCGATAGTCCAATGGTTAAGGCACTTGCCTTGCATGTGGCCAGTTCAGTTCAATCCCCTGTACCACATGTGGTCCCCCAAGCACTGCTAGGGATCACTCCTGCAAGCAGTCAAGAATAACCCCAGAGCACTGCTGAGGGCAGCCCTTCAAGAAAAGATTTGTCTGTTAATATCAAAACAATTGTAAACCAGTAACCTCAATAGAAATTACTAGGAAAAGATCAAATACTTTAAAAAATTATATTAATACTTCAGTCCCTTTTATTGCTGAATAATCCATTGACAGAATACATTTTGTTTCTTCGTTTGTTAATAGTTATTTTCTACTTGCTGGCTATTTTGAATAATGTTGCTGTGGATATTTCTGTATAAATTTTTGTGTGGACATAGGTCTTTCATTCTCTTGGGTCTATAGCCCTGAGTAACTGCACCATTTTACATTGCTCACCAGGATGTACCAGGGTTCCAATTTCTCCTTATCTTTGTCCACATTTATAGTCTCTTATTTCTTAATTTTAAAAAATGGGATGTGAGAGTTTGCAGGGCATGAACCAAGGTGTTTTTGCATAGTAACTGCCTTCCTGCGGAGCCCAGTCCAGCCCTGTCGCTTTAACCTTAGTAGTGTGTCTGTGCTTTGCAATCCTTGACCTGTGATGTTGAGCACCTTTTCGTGTGCTTTTTTGGAATAAATGTCCACTCGTCTTTTGCCCATCCTTTAATTGGGCTGTCAAAAATGTTTTTTGCCTTTCACTTGGGTGTCTTCTTTTTGTTGTGGCCCCTGCCAGTAGAGCTGAGCCTGAGCAAGACTGGTGGTGCTCAGGCCATGCCCCGATGCTAGCTCATGTGCTCAGGGCACCCCAGGGCTATGTCCAGCAGCTCTGGGGCCCAAGCTGTACTGAAGATTGCACTCAATGCCTCACGTATGCTGAGCATGTGCTGTCTACCATTTGCTCTGTTGCCCCAACGCCTTCATTTTCTGTATTGTCCTTGGAAGCACATTTAAAATTTTGGTGAAGCTCAAATATATCGACTTTTCCTTTAGTTGACCATGGATTTCAGTGTCATGTTTCAGAAAGGATTACCAAATTCAAGATTACTAAGATTTTTTTCAGTTTTCTTCAAAGTGAATTATAGCTTCAGCTATTATAATTCGCTCTCTGGTCTGTTTTGAATTGATTTTGTACATTTTGTGAAGTAGGGGGTGGTCTGACTTCATTCTTTTGCAGGTGACTATGCAGAAGGCCCAGCACCATTAGTTGACAGAATTATTTTATTTTTACCCACCTGCATTTTTTGGCCTCCACCTTTGCAAAAAGTTGAACACAAATTGAACTTAGTAGTTAAGAGATAGTACAGCAATTAAGGCACTTGCCTTGCACACAGCTGGCCCAGATTCAATCCCCAGCACCACCACATATGTTCTCCTGAGCACTACCAGGGGTGGTTTCTGAGCACAGAGACAGAAAGAAATAAGCCTTAAATGTAGCCAGGAGTGGGCCAGAAGCCAAAAGGGGGGGGGGGGGGGGGGACTTTTTTTTTCTTTTTGAATGGGTAACTTTGAGATTTAACATGAAACATGTTTCATTGAACATGAAACAAGTGTGAAGGTTATGATTCACATTTCTACAGAGTTAATGGTAAGAGATATATGTCTGTGTAGGTTCCTCCCGCTCACTTACTTTAAGCCAGCGGTTTCTAACCTCCAATCCACAGAAAGATCCTGTGGGCCACGAAAAATGGATTCCTGCTGGGCTAGGCTTGGAGCTCTGTGGCCGAGCCACTTGCCTTGCATGTGGAGAGCCCTGGTTCAATTTCTGACGTGAAAAAAGATCCAAAACAGGGCTGGAGCCATAGCACAACGGGTTCGATTCCCAGCATCCCATATGGTCCCCCAGCACCACCAGGAGTGATTCCTGAGTGCAGAGCCAGGAGTAACCTCAGTGCATTGCTGGGTGTGACCCAAAAAGGGGGAAAAAAAATCCAAAACAAAACCCTCAATATATT